ATGCACTGAGCCTCCACCATGGTATTTAGCCACAGCAGATTCTCGATATACCTTTGAGGGAAGAGTCCAAACCATCTTTGTAGCATTTGAGCATCCACCATGGTATTTAGCCACAGCAGATTCTCGACATACCTTTGAGGGAAGAGCTTAAACCCCTTTATAGCATTTGAGCATCCACCAAGGTGATTAGCCACAGCAGACTCTCGACATACCTTTTAGGGAAGCATATATTTTCTCCGTATCTCATTTGAGTTATCACCATGAGGTTTGTCCACGGCAGGACCCTGACACGCTATCAAGGATGGTTATAAATTTGTGTTTTTACATAAGCATGAGTAGTTTATTATTCTTCTATATATTTATACAGATGAGTACCACAAAGCAAAAGCCATTCATCAGCAAAAAAACCGGATTATTGACCAGTGCCCATCCCCCTCCCAAAGCATCGCCACCCCAACACTCCTAGCCACAGTGTAACCATTAAATCTACATCCGTATTTGTTGTAATTCGAGAAAAGAAAATGGTGGATACGTGATTAAGTACATTGATATGCATATAATCTAAGCTTATTTGGCTTAACCCAGACTCCGCAACAAAGTCCCGACATGGCCCAATTAAAATTATCCCCGCCCAACAGCATGGTTTCTAGAGATATTTTTGTGTATTTTATATTTTATCATAGTAATCTAAATCTTTTAGATATTCTATCATTAAGATGATATTTTCTTTTGTTTTTAAAATGTCATTCAGATTATCAGGTAAGAATAGGGAATTCCTTTTTTCTTTTGTTTCACTGCAATTAAATATATGTTTTACAGTTAATTTATTATTACAATATTGACATATTGGTATTTCTGTTTTGTTTAGGATATAGTTGTGGGTGAGACTAGTATGACCTATCATGATTCTATAAATTTTACTTAATGTAAATCTATTGTTAAATGTTTTAATATTTGTTATTTCAATATATGGATGTATTTGTTGAAGATGCGTTTTTGTTTGATCCCAATCAATTTGCCATAAAGTTTTAAAATATTTTGTTATGTTTGGTTTCAAATCGGAATGTGGAATTTTAATATCTATAATAGGGATGTGATGGGTTTTTATTGCTGATGTGTTAACATTTTCATTGCCACATATCCCTATATGGCTGGGTATCCATACTATCTGAATGCTAAATTTATTTTGTATTAATTTATGTATTTTGATTTTCATGTTTTTGATCAATTCATTGCTTATTTCAATTTGTTTGAGAGCTAGTACAGCTGATAAAGAATCTGTCATTATGATATATCTTTTATTGTTTTCATTTTTTAGATGATCTAATGCTAAATTAATTGCCTGAAGTTCTGCTGTATAAATTGATGTATTATTTGGCAAATGCTGTTGGATCTGTTGTTTATCTATAATAACTGCAGCGGATGTAGATTCATTTATTTTAGACCCATCAGTGTATATAATTGTATGATTCTTATGTTGAAGGAGAAATTCATTAATTATTGATTTGATTATATTTGCATCTGTTATTTTATTATATTTTGTTAGGAAGGTATTG